AAAGGGGGGGGGGGGTGCATTATTAAAAACAACTCTAGTATGTATTCCTATTACAATGCTGATGTTATAACAGGATAGTATATGCTGGGACTTTGCATCCCACCCCTTTGTTTACTTTTACAGGAATGCACTGACTGCAGCTGATTGGGTATGTACTGACTGCTTCTTTCCAGGTTCAGTCAGATCCCAAGCTCATCCCTGCTGCCCAATAACGTGTAGCCAGAGCCATCCCTATATTGAGGTAGGCTGAGGCTTTGGGTCATGTGGCTCTGCCTGCGCCCCCTTTTTGTAATGGCCACACACAGTCTCCTCTCCCAGCTCTTAGCAACCTTGCACACTCTGGCTGGCAACCAGTGACGCCACTGGTTGCCCGGAGCTGAGTGGGATCCTCTGGCTGGTGTCCTGCTCAGCTCTTGGCAACCAGGTACATCACTGCTTACCAGGAGTTGAGTGGGACACTTTGGCCGGTGTCCTGTCCAGCTCCTGGCAACCAGTGACATCAATGAGCTGGGTGGGATGCTGGCCAGAGCTAGGTGGTGCAGCACCAGGAGCCCATCACAACCCCAACCAAAGAGCTACCCCCCGTGTGGAATATGACCACCAACACTACTCCAACCCCCCCACCCACCTCAGGCGTTGATTATGCTAGGGACGTCCCTGCATGTAGCAGCCATTCATCATACTAGTTGGCAAAATGCTTCAATTCTGCGCGATTAATTTCAACTAAACTGCTCATACTACATGTGCATTGTGTAGCTTACACCATAGGGAGCCATGTGTAGCGACTGATCAATAGACGCAACAAATAGTCTTTTTCATTATCTGTTTTGCCTGAGGAAGGGACTTTGCTGTTCTGAAACATTGCTCTGATGATGTGACACCTGTGAAGTCAATAAATATTGACTTTTCTACATGTTGGAGTGCTTGTGACCTTTTTGTATTTTTTGGACCTTTTTTGCGGAGGCATCCACGGTCATTTCAGCGCCCACTCTACAATTAGGGTTTTCTATTTGGTCAGGAGTGCAATGGGTGTATGTTTTTTGATCAATAGTCTTGGTACGTTTAGTAGTGTGATGCAGCTACTGAAAGTTGTGTTCTCGTTATCCTAGATGCCCAACTACCACCCAGAGTTTCCTGTAGAGACCCCAGCAGGCAATTGCTGCCTCTCAGCTGTCTGTCTATATCTCTGAATCCCAATTTAATCTCTCTAAGCGGCACTCTGACTCCACGGAGGGTCTGTGTTGATAAGAAGGAGATCTGTAATTTTCCCAAACATCTTAATGGCTAAAATGACATGTGTTACCGTGAGGAGAGAGGCAGAGATGCTGAAATTAGAGCTTTCTCACCAGCCCCAGTGCCCACACACGCTGACAGCTCGTGTTCCATTTATCAGCGGGATTACTCAGCCGACGGTACTGAAAACTGCCTATTTCACGGCTAATGTTATAAATATATGGAATTAAAATAAATCGTTGTTGTTAACGGACAACGTCAGGAAAACCTCTAAATGCGCAGGGGAATCACATATAGGGGGTTTATTTTACCTGCAGAAAGATTTGTAAAATAACATTCCTATATCTGGCATTGCCCATGTGTACGCAGGGTGCTCTCTTATGGCCGGGGGCCACAACTTGGCCCTTTACTCTGAACTCCAGGCAAACGGCCATTGAAGTACATATATCTGAGCTGTTTCGCCTGACAAAGGATTTTTATTTCTTCCCATCCAGTCTTGAGATTTACACAGCTCTGCAAGAGCACACAGTTAGCCTGGTGATCTGATTTTTAGCTATTGCAGTTAAAGGAGAATTATGAGGCGAGTGAAAATCACTCAGCCTCATAGTTCTAGCCGACCTGTGACAATGAAACTGTCACAGGTCGGCTCAATAGATCGGGAAGTGAGCGAACACATAGCTTCGCTCGCTCACTTCTCCATCTATTCCTGCAGAGAGCTGTGACTGTCACTCACGGATCCCTGCAGGGATTCCCCCCCTCCCCTGTCCGATCCTCCAGCGCTGACTGGTGGAACGGACGGGAGAGGGGTCAGGCACAGCTGGCTCTGCCTCTAGATAGGCAGAGCCAGCTGTCAATCCCACAGCTGGGTGGATCCAGCCAGTAATGTCGGGATCCATCCAGGCTGCGGCGTCTCAGTATACAGCGAGCTGTAGATCGCGGTATACTGAGCTTTGGGTGATAGGAGGACGCTAATTTGTGTCCTCCCGTTACCCTTAGGAAAAGCCCTGACCCCATACTTTTCCTTTTAAGGAAGTCGTAAAGTTCCGGCACATACTCTCCTGATATAACATCAGCATTGTAATAGGAATACATACTAGAGTTGTTTTTGATGATACAATAAAAGTTTACTTGAAAAAAAAACCTTTTTATGTAGTGAGCGCTGGCTTCCCTCTGCCCGTCACTTTCACCAACTTCCTGGATTCCCAGCGTGCTTTGCATCTCTTTCCGTGCTGCTTGATGTGATGCAATCTCCATTTCTAAAGACTTCATATCACATCATGCATTGCTTCCAGCAAGCAGTGATAATGTTACATTGCTCAGATGTTGACTTGTAGTTCAGGCGGCAGGCTCTGTGAGACGGGTGACACAGGAAGTGCATATTCACAGGGCTGAGTGAAATTGTGTCATTGGGGAAGTACATCCTATGGGCAGCTTTATTTTACATGCTTCTAGATGGATCTGGTTATTAGGAGTGGGATAGAACTGATGGAAATTCAATATAGAAATACAGATTTACTTTTAGTTTTGATACCCTTTACCAGTTCAGCTCTGTCACCTTGCTGCCCCCCGGCCTGTACTGTGATTGGACAGTGGAGGAGCAGCAACAGAGTAAAGAAGTAATCTCTCTGTTCTTTCCTGCTGTCAGTACGTTCCTTGTCAGCACTTGTGCATGCAGAACACCTGATGCCTTTCCCTCCCTGTCTCAGTGCTGAGATCAAGTCACATTCAGATATTTACACTAGTAAATTAAAAATACTTTTGATGACTTTTTAGTGCATCTAAAGTCCTATATTTGTTTTCTTCCTCCGTGGGAAAGATTCTCTCTCTTTGTTTGTCCTGGTGATCACTGTAATCGCAACTGAAAGTGATGAAAAAATCCACAATTTTAAGTTGTCACCAGAGGGAAAATCCTGCATCATGGACACTTGTACAGGTGACAACTGTGTAAGAGATTTCCTTCATATTCGTTGTGTCTACAGGAGAGGAAATGAAAGGAAATCTCCTCTTAGACATGTGTTCTCCAAGCAGGTGTCCCCATTGGAAGATTTTCCCTACATTCCTGTTGTGGTGACAACTTGAAATTTCTAGGTTTTCCCATCACTTTCAGCTCTGATTGCAGCGGGGCGAAAGAAAAAAACGGAGACTCTGAACACCTTTTGTATCTGAAATGTCCTTTAGTCAGTTTATACTGAAAGCTCATTTTGCTTTCACCTTTAATTGGGGGCAATTTACATCTCCACATTGCCAGAATGCGCTGAAGTGTTGTTACCGTTCACTTTGAAAAGCACCCCATTGCATGAGAGCAACGCACGTGCAATTGCCAGCCCATTGTTTTCAATGAGCTGCTTTAATGCAACAGATGCTACTCATCCCATGCAACGCCGCAGCGGGATGAGCCAGGCCCAGTCGCAGTCTCCACATCCCACCAGGATGGTTGGTCTCGCGTCTGTCTTGACACATTGGTAAATGCCGCGGCGTTTTTTATGTATTACATTTCCAAATGGAGGGAAAATAATGTTGACTTGCGTGTGATTAGAGTGCCCAGAATGGAGCAGATCTTCGCTTTTTGCGCCGCTGGTTATAATTCTATTATATAGGAAAGTGTCTGACCCGCCGTGTCACATTGACGCCTTTTTATCAGCGCCGGCGGAGAGCGGTGTGCCGCCTATTCATATGGAAATGGAAGTGTTCCCTGTTTGTTCTGTGGAGACGGCGCTGCACGCAGCTCGGAATGAAAGGCGGTGAACACGTTGGAAGCCGTCAAGGTGCGCGGAAACAGTGTTGAGGCCCCGGCAGCGCGTTGTCTGCTCAGCGTGGGGTAAATAATGATATGTAATCACTGGAATGGTTTCCTTATGTGAAAGAAGCATTTACAGCCGAACTCCAGGCAAACAGCTGAATACACAGATGACTATATACAGGTACCGGAGCTGTTTTATCTGCCAAAGGGTTGCATTTCTGTCCATTCAGTTCTCTAATGCACACAGCTCTGCCACAGAGTAGAGCAGTAGACCCATCTCGTGCCTTTACTTCAAAGTAAACAACTTGGTAGCTAACCGAATTCCATGCAGATATACAACATAAAAATGAATGCGGCTCTGTAATCATTAAAGGAGAACTATGGCCTAAACTTTTTGGCCCATAGTTCTCTTAAGGATCACAGGAGGACATTTACTATGTCAGCTATTGCCCGCTATATGCTGACAGCGCAGAGCCACGCTGCGGTTGGGACGGATCCCGACAATATTGTCGGGATCCACCCCGGTACCTGATTGACAGCTGGCTCTGCCTCTCCAGAGGCAATGTCAGCTGTGCCCGCCCCCTCTCCTGTCTGTACCTACAGTCAGTGATAGAGGAACAGAGAGGGGAGGGGGGAATCCCTGTCAGTCACGGCTCTCTGCAGAGTGATGATCGGGAACTCAGTGATCGGCGGTATTCGCCAAGTTCCCAATCAATAGAGCTGAAGTGTGACATGTAGTCTCTAATTATGGAGAAGAGGAGAAGAGTCTATTTCACTCTCCCAATAATTCTCCTGTAATGCATCATTAAGTGTATTTTTTACTGCAAGCAGTGTAAGTACAGTACTTGAATTTGACCTGGCATCATCCTTTTGCAGTCCCTGTACAGCAGAGCACAGGGCACAAGGAGCCAATCGATTTCTGATCTGATAAGGAGTATGCTGATAGGAGGAGAGAGCACAGATGAGCTCATTACAGTACTGCTTCTCCTTTCACCGTCCAGTCATAGACTAAAGGGTGGGTCCAGAACGACCTGGTAGAATTCTGCTGGCTATCAGACTGAGGACATCTAGTGGCAGAGAAAAGGTAGTGCAGAGATTGAAGATGAATTTTGCAGCAAAAGCTTATATTAGATATAGTTTGTAGTATTTTTTAGTCTTGTGATTTACAGACACTGAACAAGCAGGGAGTTAATTCTGCTACTTTGTGGCTCAGCTTCACGGCTTCTAGGTGATCATGCAGATTGGAGGTGGATTTGGAGACGTGACACATGATGGAAGGAGGTATAAGTGTGACACCGGCCTGGCTGTGCAGTGCGGCAGTGTTACGTATATCACAAGACATATAAACCCTTTGGCACGCAGTTAATTTATTTCTCCCTCTCTGCACCCCCGAAGTCGCAGACATCCTTTGTGATGGAGTTAAGAGAATTTTCCATCTGAATTCCAGAAATGGTAGAAAAGGTTATCCGCATAATAGGCGGCCAATCGCAGAAAGCGCTCGTGACATTCTGTCAGGCTTTAAATATCAGGCTAATACGAATTTATTAGCGCAAATGTTAGCGGAGCCAATGAAGGATCACAATGGAGTCATAAATACAAATTTCATGGAAAGTGTATTCAGAATGTAATAACTTCCATTACACTTTGTACTCTGTAATGTAATTGTAACATTTATTGGTGGGAATTCATTTACCATGGACACGTAAATATATCCAAGAATGCTGGAAGAACGCCAGGCCACCCCCACACTGCAAGGGATAAGTGCTCGGTTTGGTATAGGGCAGGGGTGGGCAATTCATTGGGGGGGTGGGGAGGGGGGCACATAGGGAACTGGGAGGGCTGTGATGGGTGAACACACTGACCGTGTATAAGGCCTCATTCACACTACTAAGAGCCGCCCCGTTCAGATCCGGGCGGCGTGCACAGCCGTATCGGGCCGCTCCTGGGAAGGACAGGTGCTGTGTTTACACTTTCACAAAATTTTTGTTTTTCAGAAAAAGATTCCTGAGCTTGGGGCAATTATCGGCCGACGCCAGCCTCTCCCAGATTTCGTTTGACCCCGGACAGTCGCAAGACGAAAACGGAAAACATGACACCTCCCAGTTAAGTGAAGGTAAGCCGCGCTGCTCATCACATACAAGGCCCAATGTTTTTAGGTGATGGGACAAAGTACAGACGGTCAGAGGGTTACATTCGGATTCAGAACGATTCATTATTACATTATAACAAGCATATTGGTGGAAGTTCTACCTGCTTATGGCCATAGACTGGCAGATATCTGTAAGCAGGACAGGTGAGCTGAACTGAGGGGTACTTTCCAACAGCACCACAGATAGGAATATTTTCAGCTTCTAGATCAGGGAATTAAGTAAGAATTCTAACCCCAGTGATTGGACGGTGAAAGGAGAAGCAGGAGACTCTCTTTCTGATGAGCTCTCTACTCTTATCGGCGTGCCCTTTGCACTGCAGGACACCTGATTGGCTCCTTGTGCTGTACAGGGACTGGAAGAGGCGGACACCATGTCAACCTCAGGTACTTGCACTGTTGGCATACAGAAGTACAATTTTTGTGTATTTTATGCCTGGAGTTTGGCTTTAATTTTTGCTTGTGGTTTTGAGACACTTTAAAGCCTTGGTTCTCAACTGGTGGGTCGTGACCCAAAAATGGGTTGCAAACCTGTGTTCAGTGGGTCGCCGCATGCCTTCCACTTTTCTAGGTGAGAGACCCCTCAGCCTTCCCCTAGCGCATCACTTGCAGTTCTCGCACGGAGCAGTCATTCAAAATATGCTGCCCGGCGCTGAGTGTCAGCTTGAGGAAGGTTGGGCTGGGGGTATGGCCAAGAGGGAGCTCCATCCATACGTGCATTGTTTACAGCTCCCTGACGTGTCCTGTAGAGGTGCCTGGACCGGAGTGACGTCACATTCTGGCTACCGTGCGCTCTGGTGCGAGAGTTGCGTTGCATTGCCATTCATTTGAATGGTACCCCAAACGCACCCCACGCCGATTATTTGATCGCCTGCACCGGATCGCGCGGTACCGGAATGCCGTGCGTTGCAGTGCGACCTGACTTGGGTCGCGACTTAATGACCAAGGACAAATGTGGATCCTGAGGTTACAGCAGTTGAGAACCACTGATCTAAACAGTAAGGCCGGGTTCACACCTAGGCAACATCGTTTTTGCGCGTTTGTACGCCCGTGTTCAGCGTGCCGTTATTTGCGCGTTATGCACATCTCTGGAAATGCGCGTACACAAAGATGTGAGTTTTGACTGGCAGCTTACTAAACATTGCGGTCAATGGAGGAACGCGCGTACAAACATGCAAAAATGTGCACAATGCTTCTGCCGCACGTTTTCTGGCGTTTCCATTGAAGTGTATGGTGGGAAAACAAGCTTAACCGCTTGCTGACCAGGTGTTTACACCCCCTTCCTGGCCAGGCCATTTTTCAGTGTTCAGCGCTGCGGTACTTTGACTGACATTTATTCCATCATGCAGCGCTGTACTGAAATGAATTTTATACCATTTTTTGGGGACAGATAGAGCTTTCTTTTGGTGGTATTTAATCACCACTACGGGTTTTATTTTTTACTATAATTAGGAAAAATTACTGAAAATTTTGAGAAAAAAAATACATAATGTTAGAAAACATTTATTATTACCCAGTTTTTTGGGAAAATTATAAAAGACGGGGTCACGTCGGGTAAATAGACACCAAACATGCCAAGCTTTAAAATTGCGCGCACCCGCGAAATCACAGAAAACGACCATACCCAAAATTTCCCATAGGCTACGATTTAAAAGCTTTTACCGCTCATCAGTTTAGTGTTATCAGTGATTGATGGCCCTAGAATTATTGCTCTCACTGCGACGTTCGCGGCGATATGTAACATGTGTGGCGTAATGCACGTGCCCCCGACGTCGTTTTTGCACGTGCCCCCGACGCATGTTTGCATGCGTGTATGTATGGGTGGGGACTTTTTTAAAAAAAATTGTTTTTTTATTCTTTTTTTATGTGTAACTTTAAAATTTTTGGGGTTGGAACTTTAATTTTTTTTCCTATTTTTTTTTTCCACTAAACTTTATTGCTATCACATACGGGGGCTAATAAAACCCCCCTATGTAATAGCAAAATATGTGACAGGTCCTCTTTATGGAGACATCAGGGGTCTCCAAGACCCCTAATGTCACCTAGGACCCCCCAAAAGAAGCTTATGAAGCACAGATCTGCTCCATCAGCTTCTTTCCAGCTTCTGAAGCTGGAGAGTGACACAAGATTGCGGAAGTGATGTATTATGCAACACTTCCGCATTCTGACAGCGGAGAGGGGACCGGAGGGAGCTCGTGTACCGAGCTCCTTCTGATCCCCTGTGACACAGGCGACATGCTGATCCCGGGCTCGCACCGGGCACAGCGGAGCCTGGGACCAGCGGGACAACGGCGGGGGAGACATCGATCGTTACCCCATACAAGCGATCCCCCGGCTCTATAGCCGGCGGATCGCTTGTATGTTAACGGGCATCGCTGCCTGTTTTTAAATATCGGGCACTTCCCGGAGCGCGCGGGAAGTGACGCCCACTCAGATCTACAGAGCTCCCGGCCGGCCGTTTTTTTTACAACGGCCAGCCCGGAGTTAGTTAAACCGTCAAAAGAAGCTCATATACCATTTCGGCCGTTTTCCTGCTGGCATTTAGCTGCTCAGGTGTGAACAGGGGCCATTTGAAAATCATGGGATTTCTTGTGTTGGCATTTAAAAGCGTTTGTGCTACTGCTAAAAAACACCTAGGTGTGAACCAGGCCTTATTATACAGAAGTGCGGCCTTGTGGACACTTTACTTACTGTTTGCTGCAGTGAAGCTCATGAATAGCAAAACTGACGTAGAAAGAAAGAATGTGTAAGCTAGGAATGCACCGATACCGGTTTTTCGGTATCAAGTATGAATACCGATATTTTGCTTTCAGTACTCGCCGATACCGAGTACTGATACCGGTGCTTTCCCTGGCATGGAGCCGGCTTCCTGGGCAATCAGGAAGCTATTGACACGCTGCCCGGCTTCCTGATGACCCGGGAAGCAGGCTCCATGTTGTTTGGCCGGCTCGATTGTGATTAGCCGGGAAAACGGCTTCCCAGCCAATTGACAAGGAGCCGGCTTTGAGGTTGAGGTTGGTTGAGCTGCAGTGCGTCAAAATGCAGACATGTTGAATTTTCTGCACCACACCTCATGTCATGTTAGCACCAGTCACAACATGGCAGCTCCTCTGTTGTGCTTAGAGATTAATAAAAGGTTATTTGTGACATTTCAATAAAGTTTACTTTTTTTTTTAAAAGGTAAATGGTGCCTTACATTTGAAACCAGTCCATACACGACCCATACGCAGCCCCATATACAGGCCCTTCACAGCCCATAGAGAACCCGTACACAGGCCGCTCACAGCCCATGCACAACTTATACACAGGCCATTCACAGCCCATACAGAACCCATACAGAACCCATACACAGGCCCTTCACACCCCATACAGAACCCATACACAGGCCGCTCACAGCCCATGCGCAACCCATACACAATCCATACACAGGCCCCTCACAGCCCATACAAAACCCATACACAGGCTCCTCAGCCCATTCAGAACCTATACGCAATCCATACACAGGCCCCTTACAGCCTGTACGCAACCCGTACACAAGCTCATCACAACAACCTGTACACGGACTCCTCAGAGCTCATACACAACTCACACGCAGGCAGTTTACAGCCCATACACAACCCATACACAGGCCCTTGACAGCCCATACACAACCCATACACAGGCCCTTGACAGCCCATACACAACCCATACAAAGCCCCTCACAGCCCATACATAACCCATGCACAACCCTTACACAGCCCATGCACAACCCTTACACAGCCCATGCACAACCCCTTCACAACCCCTTCACAGTCCATGCACAACCCATACACAGGGCTCACAGCTCATGCCCAACCCATACACAGCCCCCCAACAGCTCATACGCAGTACATACACAGGCCCCTCACAGCTCATATCGAACCAAGAAACAGGGCCCTTACAGCCCATACCCAATGTATACACAGGCCCTTCACAGCCCATACACAGTGCTTACTAGCCTGCACGCTGATGTAAACAAGCCCTAAAACAGAGTATTAAAAATCTAGAATAAGTACATTCATGGCTGTTTCTCCTTAAATAAATGCTAAGGTGTCTGCATGAGTTTATCAGCCCCTTCACTCATTAAACACTCCCCGTTTCCATGTATTCTCATTGATCCCTTTTCTCTTGGCAGGTAAAGAAGAGACACCATCTTTATTAGGCCTGTGTGGCTCCCTCACATCCGTGGCCAGTTATAAATCCCTCACAAGTCTTAAGTCCAGCGAATGTCTTGCCAGCCCCACCACAGAGATGACAAGCCCAGGCCTAACTCCGTCTTGAAGAAGCCATTATTGAAGGACAAGCTTACTGTGTCATATGCAACTACATTCCGTGTTTGAATGGCTGTGAAAGAAGGCTTTGTTTAGTAACATCGGGCCTTGTGTATCAAAAATGTTTGAAGGTTACTAAGGTTCTCCTGATAGTTACAAATCCATCATTGTAGACAGTAGACCCATTGGTTTGCCAACTCAGCTTTCATTTTTTTTCTGCCCCAAAACTTCATAAAGCACCAGACTGCCGGCATCAACGTTATGGGTTATTGTTTGACATTGGGGTGGAAGATTTCCCTTCACTTCCTGTCTTGGTGACAACATTGCTAGGAAGGGAACAAAATCTGCAATAGTGAAATACTATTAAAGATTGCTGTCTCTTGGAGATTTTCCTAGGAACAGAGAAGACAACGCACCAATGGGCCATGGACAGCAGTAAAAACCTGATAGAGGGTCTAACCCTTCCACAATACAAGTAAAACTTTAAAGAATAAGTGCAGCTTTAGAGAAATTTTTTTTGTATCCCCCCCTCTGCAGACATAACGGAGCCCACACCACCTCAGAAGATGCATGCTTATCGAGGTCCAGCGTCCGGGACCTCCAGCATTTGTTTACATAAAGCGCCAAATTCCTCTCAATGCTGGCCACACCTACACAGTAAAGCCCTTTTAGACTTCATTGGGCGTTGTCTACCTCCGTTTCCTGGTCAGGAGACGCAGGGAGACAAGCCCCATAGATATCTATGTGGCTCCAGTGCGCAGGAGCAAAAAAAAGTTTTAAATGCACTGCTAATCATTCCCACATTTCATAGCTGCAGTCTTAGTCCTTCTCTGATTCTAGTTGTGTCCCCCACATCGGGGTTAAATGACACCCAGCATCATGCAACCCCTTCCTGGGAGCCCAGGCTGTCATAGACACACCCCCTGGGCTAGTATCATCATGCAGCTTGGGTTCATCATGAAATCACGAGTATCCCATTTTGCCAATGCTGAACTCTAGGCAAAAATATGAGACATCTGCCTTTATCCCAGTTATGTTATTTTTATTTTTAAGGACTCCGGGAAGCATTAAAACTCAACTCCATTTTTTTGTTATAAGTGTAAGAATGTAAACATTTACTTTCTCTCTAATGCTGTCTTCAGTAGACTCTACACTGTAATTCAGCATAGCCGGTCCTCTTCCAGGTATAATGGCGCTAAGGGGTCTATTTATAAACAATTTGCAGGTCTTTTGCGCTGTGGATCATTGTGAGCATTCGTTCTGTTGGAACAGGTGCAAAAATACTAACGTTCTAAGTGTATTTTATATCAGGTTGTAAGTAATGTAATACTGCATTATGGCCACTAGATGGAGTGGAGGAGTATGGGAAATAAATACCTTTTTCTTACACTTCTCTGCTCCATCTAGTGGTCATAATGTAGTATTACATTACATTCCTCTAGTCGCACGGAAGGAACATTCACAGAGATTCGCAGGGTGAATGGCCATGTAAATTGTTGGATATTAAAATGCACTTCTAACCTTTTCCACACTTAATAGCTGTAGTCTTAGTCCTCTGTTGAACCTAGCTTCTTCCCAACATCTGAGTTAAATGACACCCAGCATCATCCAACTCCTTCCTGTGAGACCAGGCTGTCATGAGCACACCCCCTTGGCTAGCATAATCATGCAGCTTGGGCTCATTGTGGAATGCTGCATAAAATGCCACTCACATAGAGGGGTCTCCTAGTCTTTTTGCCGCCTGAGGCTGGGGGGGGGGGGGGGGGGGGGAGAGGGGTTTTGGTGGTGTAAGCAATCAGTGAGGGGTAGAGGAGACAGTGCCACCAGACACGAGAGTGATGCCGCCCTCTGCAGGCTACGCATCTACCCCACCCAGCTCTTAGCAACCTGGGACGCGCTGGCGAGCATCCCATCCAGCATCGTCACTGGTTGCCAGGAGCTGGGCGGGACACTGGCAAGAGCATCCCAGGGTGCTAAGAGTTGGGCGGAGAGATATGTATGGTGTATGGTACTTGCACATCTCCCCACCCGGCTCTTAGCAACGTGGGATGCTCTGGCTGGAAAGGAGGTGGCAGACAACCTGCAAACATTGTGCAGCAGAACAGCCATGCCACTCTGCCTGCATGCCCCCCCCACTCCCCACGTGACCCAAAAAGATGCCCTCTGCTAACATACCATATGTATGCTTTAATCTATAAACATTTAGGTGCGGGTTGGCGGTAGGAGGGACTTCACTTGGGCTTAAGAAAAAGATTTTGGCTAAAGATAGACTATAAAAGTTGAATCCTGTTTAACTGCTATGGGTTCTGTAGTCTGCATTTGGAACTTTGCTTCATCCTCTACGTTACTGATAAAGCCCATTGGCCAACTTCCAGTGCTTTGGAAAGTCATCAACAAGTAAAGGGTCAGCCTTGAATCTGGTTTACAAATAATGAATACGTTGTGATTGGCCAATGCTCCAATGCAGCAAAAAGTTATTTATAAATGAAGATTTATTTCTATTCATGGTTTTTGCGGACAACTTGTAGACCAGCCCAAAGAGACCTCTATCTCTTCAACATTGCATTTCTCTCCATACAAGTCACCGGGGATGCAAATGTAGGAGGCCAAATGCACTTGTGAATGCACTCAGATGGAACCTCAAATGTAAGTAAACTCACCTGAAAGCACTTTGTTTGCCCATCAACAGTACTCCAAAGGGAGTGACTAAAGGGTGAAGTCATATTGCTAACACACCAGGATAAAGATCCTTTAAATAAAAAAAAAGTGATAACTACAGCTAAGTCTTACGAGATTCTAAAGTGACAGGTCACATGGCTGGATATAAGGATACTTATCTTTGTGTTAAAACAATGTGAATTGAGCCTCAATCTTATTCCTATGTGAGGCTGCTCTGCTCAACAGAAGGCTGCACTATATCTGTAGAGTGTATTCCAGGGGACAAATTGAGTCATCAAGCAGCAGGATAGCCGGCTACTTTAACCGACGTCCATGTGTGCCCAGTTCGGCTCCATAGACTATGGAGCCGGTAGAGAGGTTGGAGCCGATCCGTTCTCCAGACCCATAGAAGTCTATGAAGCTATACTGAGCATGCGTGGACACTGGGTGAAGTAGCCGCTGAGGGTTGTAAACATTGTTGCGGTCCTCGGTGGCGAGATCTAGATTTGATGGGATGGGTGGTCTACATCCACTTAGGGGAAAAGGTGGAAATGAGTAAGGAAACTTTGTTAAAACTTTTCCCCATCCATTGAAACAATGATAAGGATCTTTATTTTAGCCATGTGACTGTCATTTTTAAATCTCATTTTCTTTTTTTTTAATATAATAGGGATCTTTATCCTGGTGTGTGTGACTTGAGCCTAGTATTGTCTGTTTACGGTCATTCATAATTCTACCAGGAGGTCTTTATTTAAATGGCTTGGAAACCAATGGAACACAAATGGAACATATGATTGGTTGCTACTGGGGCAACCTAAAGGTTTTCTTTTTAGATACTTTTGATACACAAGATCAATAGCACACAGGAGCGGTATGTAGTAACTCCCAGCAACCAATCAGATATCAGCTTGGTATGAGCGCAACTTGAGAAAGCTGAACTGATTGGCTCCTGAGGGTCACTACACACCATTGCTGTTTGCACTTTGTTACTAAATAAGCCCAGAAGTGTTGTTACCGTTCACCATTCGACTTGCCTCCTGCTTTTATGTACTTGTGTCTGTAGCAAACTACAACGAGCCTTGCTTATCAAAGTGAAGGAAGAACCATCATTATCCCCCATAGTAACCAGTCAGAAAGTGTTGTTCACTCTTCCTGTGCAGGATGGGAACAGGAGAATCTGATTGGTTATTGGCTAAATGATCAGTTCTTCTTTCAGACAGGTTTATAGATGAGGCTCACTGTTGCTGACAGACTGATGATTCTGGGCATGTTCCATTCCTAACATACTATTGTTATAAGGGGCCATCTTTTGAAACTAGAGCCACGCTTAATAAAAGGGATTCCTAAGGAAAACAACAAAAAAAAAAACAGTTTGATAGGGGCATCTACTGTATATCCATGTATTGGAACTTCAAACTGCTGCAATTTAAAGTGTCTGGCAGATAGAAGTCTGCAATGCCAAATGTACCCAACAGGTGGCGCTGTGACCAAAATCTGCAATTGCAACCACTCTATACTAAGAGAACCCAGGACCTGCAGGAAGGGGAGACCCATCCTTAATAGGGCCCTGCCATACTAACCATGCTGTCCCATTGACCATATCACTCACTGTCGACAGCACTCATCTGTTCTAGGAGATCCTTTCCTTGATGGCGAGCAAGATTATGCAGCGTAACGGCCAACAGGGTAGCAATGCTGTAGGGGCAGGGGAGTGCTGTCTTTGGAAACCCTTTAGCAATTGCCACCAGCGACCGGATCGCTAACCTGACATGGCCCTAAAGAGTTCTACAGAAAATGTACAGTTTTCTTGGGAATCCCCTAAAAACTAACCTCATTGTAAAACTTATGCCTAAGAGCAGATTCCAGAAGGTGCCCACTACCACCCTTATTAATTATTGAGCCTTCTTCTGTGCACCACTCTGAAGCTGTTTCACTTTGCTGCCAGAGGGTTGACTTCTCTCAGGACTTAACCTTACCCTGTCCAATGTGAGTGTTTCAGTGGCCAGAAAGGGCACTTTAATTGGACAGAGGGTGATGGGTGGGGCTTAGCTTCAAAGTCGTAGAAATCAACCCCTTTGTAACAAAGTGAAATCCTTTTCAGAGGGGTACTAGCAGGCAACATTTGGCATCAACTCTTAAAGCCCAATTGAAAATTCAGTTTAAATCAGCCAGTTTTCCAGCTAGTTTTTTTTGGGGGGAGGAACAACCACAGACTGTGCCGAAAAGCCTTTCCTCTACTGCAGAGAAGGACCTCTCCTTGCTTTCTGTGTGGAGCAGTGGTCTCTCTGCCGCAGCCCATCATACCCCCTGCTAAATCATACCAATAGCTCTGCAGTCAGTACATCTCGTGCTCCCTGCTGATTGCATTGCTCTATCTCTGACTCAGCAGAGGGCGTGCCTGATCTCTGCAGAGAAACCGCTGCTTCCATAGCAAGGGTCCTTCTCTACAGCATGCTG